CAACTCCCTGTATAGCTATCCTTATCTCAACCAGCAAAAACCCTTGTTCCTTCCTATTATTGCTTATACTCTCTCTACAACAAAATTAGAAATAAGGGCAAAATAGTTTCTGCTGGGTATTGAGGGGGGGTAGAGAGAGGGGGCGGAGTGGGTGGTAAGGGAGGGGGTGGGGGCAGGGGGGAGAAATAAACCAAACCTTGTATGCACATATGAATAATAAAAGAAAAAGGAAAAAAAAAATAAGTGCAGGTCAAATCTTCTCCAAAAGAGTTTGAGACTCCAGAGGGAAGAGTCTATCCTAGCTAGGATTTACAGATGCTGTCTGTGTGTTCCAGACACCTTGTGCACATAGATGGGAAAAAAGTAGTATTTTCATTTTCACTAGTACAACTGAGACTTATTATTTCTAGAATTATGAACTGAATTATCAACCACAGCAGCAGTAGCAGCACCTGTGAATCATTGCTTTTGCATCATCAAATATTTTACAGAATATTTTGTTATAGATATCATAAACTTTATTATGTAATTTATTAATTTATATAACATAAACATTCCAACTTTAATATTATAGAATTTATTATATAATATTTTGCTTATTATAAATGTAATAAACTATAAATTACACTTAAAAAAATAACAACTATTACTGGCAAAGTAAACTGATATAACATTTCTTTACTGTAATTTCATTTAAGAGCCTCAAAGAGTCTTAAGAACACTTTGATTCACAATTCCCTTTGTCATAATTCATCCCAAAATAATAACTGCTAGTACATAAGCATATTTAAGAATGTTGCACCTGGGGGGGCGGGAATGTAATTCAGTGGTACAGCACTAACCTAGCTCCCCAGTACTACAAAAAAAAAAAAAAAAGGATATTGCACTTGGGAGACTGAGGTTCAAATGTTGATGCTAGAAAACTGCCTCAGTTATTTGCTCTTCTATGACAGGATTATATACACTTTCCATCCACAGAGGAGTTAACAAATTAGTGTATTCAAATAATGAAAAACTATACAGACTTTAAATGTTGTGGATTTACATTTGATCTGAAACACAGGCCCAAGCTATATTTTAAAGGAGTTTATAAAATAAAATAAAAAGTATAATTACATTTAAAAAGTATACATAGAAAAATGTTTGGAAGGGTAATTACAAAAACGTTAGTAAGGCTTATTTCTGAGCTACATGAAATTTTACTTTAAAAAAATCAGACAATACAGAGTATTTTCAGTTTGATTATAAAATAAGACTTGCTATTTCAGAGAGAAAAACTGAAAATACACAAGTGGACATTCTATAAAGCAGTCAGCAATTTTTGGAGCTAAGGTAAATAACTGTGACAGCACAACAGAATGAGTCCAAAAGCAGGTTTTATAAATATGACTTTGTAAAAAGACAACCAATGAGGTGAGTGCATGTCCTGCTCTGCCTTTCTCATGCTTCCTCAGGAAGAGGTAGGCACTAATCACCAGCAATAGAATCTTTCCAAGTGAAGTTCCCAGAGTATTGTTAGGTTGGCAGATTCCCGAGAACCACCAAACCTGTGATTCAAAACCTCAGGGGGCAGGCAACAGAATCAGCAATTTTAACAAGCTCACTAAAGATAGAGAGTACTAAACTACATGATGGAAAACACATGCAGACTACTTAAACATAAGCTGTACTGAAGTTTGAAAAAGGACAGCAGAGCTTTTATTTTAATGGTGAAATCTTCAAAGTCACTAAATTACTGCTGTTGTACATTTAAGGCTATGATTTTGTTAAATAAAGTTTAAAGACATAAAGTCTTCATGAGTAAGAAATGACAACTATGGGATTAAGTTAAAACATGTTCAAAGACTGGGGGGTGTAGCTCGGTGCTGAAGCACTTGCGCAAAGTGCTCAAGGTCTTGGGTTCAAAACCTAGCACCCAAATTAATAAATAAACAAACAAACAAAAAGTTTGTTGTTGAACTGAATAACCTATTTATTCAAAGTACTTTCTCCAAATACAAAGTATAATTTTCCAGAACCTAGCACTGACATACATTCATTTGAATGTTTCAGTATAACAGACACAGAAATGCCTATAAATTGCTGAATGAATATGTAACATTCACTTAAAAAGATGAAGTAATTTGTAAGTAATTACTGAACACTTCACTATGTGCCTGATACTGTTTTTAACCATTTTACATACATTAATTCTTTTAGTCCACATAGAAATCCTGTAAGATCAGTACATCATCCCCCAGATAAGGAGCAAATTGAAGCACAGTAAGGAAGACACTGCCCAAGCTAGTGAATGAACAGAGCCAGGAGTCAAACCCAGCCAGCCATATCAAGTTACACTGCTCTCCTAACTAAAAATCGAGTATTTTCCACCTAGTAATAAGTTCTCTAAGTGAAGCTCAAAGGTCTTTGAACACTTTGTTGCTCACCATTTTAACACTCACTTTTAACAAAATAAACACTATTTCAGATTTTCTCTAATCTATTTAATACACTTTCAACAGCTGAATGTCTTTGTGTTTCATGCTAATTAATTTCCTCAACAATCTAGCTTAGAAAAATTACTGTTTTTACCAAGAAATATATAGCCTTATTCTGAAGACCTGCAATATTGCAAGCTTTGTTTTATTATAATATACTAATTGTAAAAGTGAAAAGTTAAAAATCTTATCACCCAGAGAAAACCATTGGGTACCATTATATATCATTCTAGGCTAATTTATAACACTCTCACCTTCCATCACTACTACCAAATAAAATAAGTAAAATCATTCAGTATAAATTGAAAGAAATGAACTTGCTATTCTGCAAAACAGAAAGGAATCACTTTATAAAACAGACTGCATTTCAAACTACCATTGCATAATGTGAATTCTGAAAACACCAATTTTTACAAATAACTCAGTTTTGATTAATAGTGATCATTTTCTGAAAACAAAAAGGTTTATAAGTGCTTTATAAAAGTCAATAACCATGTCAGGCATGGTGGCATATGCCTGTAATCACAGTACTTGGGAGGCAAGTACTGAGTACTTGGGAGTACTTGAGGCAAGAGGATCACAAGTCCAAGGCTAGCCTGGGCAACATAGCAAAGTTCCAGGTCAGCCTGGGCTACATAGTGAGATCCTGTCTCAAACAAACAAACATAAAGTTTAGCCAGGCACCTGTGGCTCACACCTGTAATCCTAGCTACTTAAGGGGCTGAGATTGGGAGGATCGCAGTTCCAGGCCAGCCTGGTCAAAAAAAGTTTGTGAGACTCTCTAGGTCAAATGCTCTGCTCCAAGCAGATCAATCCATGATCTGGGCAATCTGGAGAAGAAACGTGGAGACAGAGGGAGTTTTGATATGCTTTATTAGTTGTAGTAGCTGAGCCAGGCTACTCTGTGCAGCAGTTTTTATACAGTTATAGACAAAGGTGGCATTTTACCAAGTTATTACATCTACTGTGCATGCAAATCTAGCCATAGTTACATAACTAGTTAACCTTGAGTGGTTATATAGCAACTAAATCACAATCTATTAGATATGCTTAGTGTGCCTGTGAGCAGTGATTAACTTAACTGTAGCCGTTTTTCTTACAGACCCTCATCTAAATGGAAAAAAAGGTGGACTTAATGGTAAGCACCTGTCATCCTAGCAAAGGGAGGAAGCACAAAACAGGGAGGATTGTGGCCCAGGCTGGCCTGGGCAAAAAGCAAGACACATCTCCAAAATAACCAGAGGAAAAAGGGCTAGGATCATGGCTCAGGGTAGAGCATCTGTCTAGCAAGCATGAAACCCTGAGTTCAAACCCCAGTACCGCCACCCCCTAAAAAGTCTATAACCAGCCTCACCTAAATATTTACATCGATAGAAAAGGCTTACTTTCAAGAAATATGAGACAAATGAGGTTTCTTATATTTTGCTATATATTCAGCTTTGTTTTTCTATATTAAGAAATGAATTAAGATAAAACTTCTAAGTAAAAAATACCTGAATGTTTGTGCTCACACAGCAGACAATGGCTACCCCTTGGTTACATCACCTCCATTACCTTCTGGGGTCTTTCATTTGCAGATCCACCATTATGGCTCTGGAGCAGTGGCACACATTGCAGCCCCATGGTTTGATGTGCAATGGAGAACAATTATCACTACCTGTTACTAATATTCCCTCTACTTAAAAGATAAATAAATAGAAGTATCCCAGCAAAGTATTCTCATACACAACCCAGGTCCAATTCACATTCTCTAAGATCCTCTTCTTAGAGGCATTGGTGGTATAGTGGTGAGCATAGCTGCCTTCTAAGATCCTGTTCTCTAAGCTGTCTGAAAGACGTGTTTATCTGAGGCTGTTAGCCATATTTCCTATGGAACCACTTAGCTCAAGAGGCCTGACGTAATGGCTAAGCATAAGGAAGCCACAGCATTCTTCAGAATTTTCAATACAACACAGATTTTTGGATTTCATGCAATGCTTAGCATATTATGGTAAGTACAACATGGTTTTACTCAGTTGTTCCTAAGTCTGGATGATCACAAACACCTGTGCAGCCTTTAAAAGCAGGCTGTTGTGCCCTCCCTAACTCATCCACTTCCCCAAAAAACAAAATTCAGTAATGTAGTTCTATAGTGAGATTGAGAAAAATTTAGTTACTTAGATGCTTGCTATTCAAAGTGTGGTTCAAGCATCAGAAACATCAATATCATGAGGGCACTTGTTAACAAGATGCAGAATCTCAGACCCCATCAGCCTTACTAAATCAGAACCTGCATCTTAATAAGATCCCAGGTAGAGAGTAAGAGCATTAGGACTGAAAAGCATACCCTAGATGATTCAGATGGAAGACCAGCTTTCAAAAGTGCTGCTCCACTTACTTCTCTAGTTCTCAAACTACAAAGGCAGGTATAAGAATAAATTTCAAGTGTACTTTAATTACTGCAAAGAAACTACAGTGAATATCCAAAGTAATTGATTTTAAGGGGCCCCAATTCTGACCCACAGGTACCATAATTTCACTTACCCTTGCATCACATATGGAAACTGATGACTCTGTGCTGGGTCAGTTTGTGCTTGTGGAAGGATACGCTGCCTCAATCCTTCTGAGGATGAACCAGCAGCTAAAGACAGGGTTTCCTGACTGGATGATGGAGTTGTTGATCCTGAATGATCTGAGCTCTACAAACAAAAACATAATTTTTTTAAGATTGATTCAATACAATCATGATATTATAGATATGTTCAAATGCAATCATGAAATCCCTCTGCAAAAGAACTGAATTTTAGAAACTTACTGATTTGAATAAAATCCAATATGATAGGCATTTTTAAGTTTAATATGACTAAAAAGATCAGACAATCAAGCCAGGTATGGTGGTCTACACCTGTAATCAGCTACTTGGGAGGCAGAGGTAAAAGGATTAGTCCAAGGACTACCTGGGCAAAAGCTTGAGACCGTATCTCAACAAAAGCACTTAGGAGCATGGCTCAATGGTAGAGCACTTGCCTAGCAAACATAAGGCCAAGTTCAATTCCCAATAACACCAAAATGGATTAGAAAAATCAAAACTGCTTAATTAAACAATAATATTTCATTTATCTAATAGACAAAGCTAACAGAATAACAACATACAAAAACTGCATGCTAAATTGGACAGATTACAGCATGCAAAGAGCTTCTTTCATGATGCCTAACTTATAAAAAGTGCTGGATAAATGTAACTAATTACTGAGTCACTTGAACAGTTACTATGTGGCAGATACTGCATAACATGTGGTTGATAACACACTGGTTTAACATATTCAGGAACATGATGGGTGTCAAAAGATCTAGAATCTCATGCTATCTCTGACATTACCAAAGAATATAATCTTAAATACTCACTTAACTTCTCAGTCTCTACTTTCTTGAGAAAATGAGGTTGAACTAGATTTTCAAGATTCCTTCCATTTGGCTCTAAGATTTTACTAGCTTATAAATGCACTGTTTTTACAAAGTGAGCAAGATACCAATCAGGATTTTTTAATTCTCATGCTCAAATGATGTCAACAACTCATAGATTCAATATCCTTGAATCTTATAACTCCTGAAAGACCAGTGTGTTGCTATTATAAAATAGTTTATCAAGTATTTTGTATAATTTTTTAAAATATTACATCTTATATGAATTTTAGTTTCCACTCTGAAAAATCTAGGTACAACATTATTTTAACATCCAAGTTTGTTAAAATTGTATTTTACCTGCACTGCCTTCTGATTGACAAGATGTCTTTTTGCATATCTACCTTCCCTACATCCTGCCTGGCAAAAGATCCCCAGTACATAGGTCTCTTACAAAACTAAGAAAAGACAAAATAGACACCAAGTATTTTACTAGGGAGTCTAAATCTTTAGGGCATAAACTGGGAAAGGCTTTTGTTTTTGGCAAGAATTCACATTAAATGAAGCATAATATAGAATTCATTAACATAATTAATAGAAGAAAAGGCTAGCCATTCAGCAGTACAGCCTGATTTCTCTAATGGTTTCTGGCTTTATCTTTCATGATTAGATTTTTAACACATTTTCAAATCTCTCTGAAATTTCTGAGCCATAAAAATTTTAGTGGAATTTAACTTGATTTTCCTTTGATATTTTTTAGATTTTCCTAACACTCTGAAAAATATATATATATATACTAATGACATAAAGTCATGGCTGAGGACTCCCCAGACAAGCCAACTAGGTCAGAGGGTTCTTTTACAACAAAAATTTAAGCAATGCAACTATATCCAAAGATTACACACAAAACTTCATGTGAGGCCAATATTTTTACCTTCTCATGCCAAGGTAGGAAACATACAAAGATTCCTGAGTGCTTTAACAAAACATTCTTCAGCTTAATGTAACTAAACTCCCTTGGCTGGTACTAGAAAACACCATAGAGGCCACACTGATTAAATATAGCAGCTGGAGGATTCAGTTTTTTAAAGAAGCAGTTAACTGGTATCTGTTGCAAAATTTTTCAGCTAATCGTAGCCCCTGCCATTCATCCTCTCCCTAAAGTTTCGGTTAGATTCTTGACAAGAAGGAAAGCATACTTGGCAGAATAAAAGTTCCCTGCCTGCTCAAGAAGTTTAAACCAAGCTTCCACTAATCTCAATCCTGTCACTCCCGAATGTGCCATATAGAACTTTAACGTGAAATCAAAAATAATTTAACATAAAAGGAATGTGTAAGTTGAAAAGTTCAACTATTACAAAAAATTCCCCAAACCATTTCAGACTAAGAAAACAAGGAAAAGAAAAGGTGAATACTCAAGTCTGATGAGTATACTGAATAATTTTTCCCATGCTCAAATTGTGATTTCTTTAAAACACACACACACACACACACACACACACACACACACACACACACACATACACAAAGTCCTTGATCAAGTACTCTACTTCAAGAAGATTTAGGGTACTCAGAATTTAAATAAATTAATCCACCTTGAATAAAATATACTATATTAAATATCTTTCTATCTCTGAAACTTCACTGGTCTGACAGTCTACATAATACAGTAATATCATGATTCTATTTTTGGAGTATATTGGTAATTACATCTATGGAGATTGGCTCTATTACTAACCCTGCTACTTTGCAAATTATAACTCATGGTAAACAGGCTTCAAAGACAACAGTAAGTATTAGACATTTTAAAACAAATTTTAAATGTCTTACTCTTGTTAAAATATAATCTCAAAACCCACAAGTTCCAATTGTTCTGTTTTAGATTTAATTTTATTTTTTACAATGCTGAAAGTTGAGCCCAGGGCCTTAAGTGTGCTAGGCAAGCTCTCTACCACAGAGCTACACTCCCAGCCCTCCACTTAGTTCTTAGAGGCAAGAAAGAAGACTCAGAAAACTTCAACATTTACTCCTCCCAAAACAACTCACAGAATTGCTGTTGGGTGCCAGTGCTTCACGACTTTCTCTGTTGGTGCTCGATTTTGGAGAACTGGGAGGAGTCCGAGAAGTACATACCAGATGAACCATATGATACTCATCTTGCTAAAATTAAAGAAGATTACATTTAAAGGGAAGTACTAGAAAATTTCAGTTCAGAAAGTAGCTAAGCTGAAATACTTAACTCAAAACTTTACTTTCTCACCTAGTTATTTTATTACTAATAAATTGTTATCATTTGAAGATATCATTTGTCATCTTATACTGAGGGGCCTTTTGAATTCAGTATTTTTGCTCTACACTTAGAAATGGTCTAAATACTTAGCAATTGTCATATTAAAAATTATTAGTTTGCACAACAAAGAGTCTTGAAGCAAACAATGTTATAAAGTTATACCAACATAATCTATTATTTCAATATGAAAACACATAGCACCTTAAGATCAGAATGTAAGAATCATCGTGAGGTTTTAAGCCAATAAGCTTTGAACAGTGAAAATATTTTGATTGCTTGAGTTAGCACTGATAAAGAAATTCAATCTAATTTGCCTTAACTTTAGCAAGTTGATGTATCAATTTTGCTGTTTAAGTCAAAACTTTTTATCTATAACATTTATACAAAAACATAAAGCACATATTTGAAATATAGTCTGCAAATATTCTACGTGTTTCCTTAAACCTACAACTATGACCACAGGAAAAATATTGTAAATAATGACTACAGTTGACATTTTAGCTTAATAATGAGATTATGCACATATTTATACTTAGACACAGAGCTAGTAAATAAGATGGAGAAAGAAAACAGTGAGTAAGGGATGACAGAGAATGATGAGTCATCATTTCTTAAAAAGAAGAGGAAGAACAACACTGAAATGATAAAGAAAAGAGGGCGGAAAAGAAAGAAAAGGGGGTGGGAAGGAATGCACAGTGATGAAAAAGAGAAGCAAAGCTAAGATCTCATTATGAGCTGCCTACCATGAACCTAGAATTGCGTTTAATTCTGAGGTGAATCCAAGAAAAGGAAGGTCAGCCGTTTTCTTAAAGAGGCTCTTGACACTGTTCAAAGACAGACTAGTGCATTCAAGCAACATAAAGTGCTGTGCATAAAATGAGAAGCACAAACTACAATTGCTTTAAAAATTTAGAGAAAGAAGTCCATGGGAATTAGAATGCTAAAGAGAGGCTTCACAGAGACAGGACAATGTGAGAGATACAGGCAAGGTAAAGGTGCTCCTGATTTATAATGTCCTTTTAGCTTCTGAGCATAGGTGACAAAAAAGTATGCAAGTATAAGACATTTATCCTTAGAAACCTAGTTCCAGATGGCCATACTAATCACAATTAACTCAAAGAATTAATTTACCTTTGGGGAATGTTTCTATACAGCATTTTATAACTATACAGGTAAGCCACTACAGCATTTAACTAAAATGACAGGTACACTGACTTTGACAAAAAACAGCTCAAAGAGCCGTTCAAAATGCAAACATATTGCTCAAAATGCTTGATATAGGAAGTGTAACAGTTCTTTCACTAAACCAGTTTTTAAGTTATTTTGTCTGAAACAATTTCTGGCAGCAAAAGCCTTTTTAAAAGTATCCATGTGCAAGTTCAAGGTATGCTTGAAATGAAATAATAAATGTATGTGTATTTCAAAGAGCAGATAGCAGGACTTTTAAACAGAAAAACAGAAGAAAAAATGAGTGGGCAGAACACAGATGTCTCCTTAACAGTGGATACATGTGTACAATGTACACCACCAAGAGTGAGCCCTAAAGTAAACTACGGACTTGAGTGATAATGTGTCAGTACAGGTTCAGTGATGTAACAAATGCACCAATCTACTGCAGGATGTAAACAGGAGGACGTGCTGTGCATATGTGGGATCAAGGAACAGATGAGATATCTCTGCACCTTTCATTCAATTTTTCTATAAGGCTATAAACCTAAAAATGTCTCTAAAAACTAAAGTTCACTGCTTGTATATGTGGGGGGAAGAGAGAAAAGGAGGGAGGAGAATTTGCTGCAAGATTCTACTATTTTTGACGGGGGAAATATTAAACCACTTTAGCTATCTTGAAACTTATTGAAACAACAGTAAGAAGTCACACTGGCAATGATAAAATGTCAACTATCAAAGCAGAGGGAATACACTGACACTGATTTCTAAGTTTCCCACAGGTGATGGTAAATACACAGGATAAAAAATAGATCTTCTAAATTAGGTCATAAATGTCTAGAACAACATTAAGAGTTAAGTCAAAAACTGAACACAAAATATAAAGCTATTTAATTCTGCTATATTCACAAACAAAAGAGCAGCATTTCAAATACTGAAAAGCCCTAAAACTATAAACTAAAAGCTGTCATTAAAATAACTACCATTCAAGCTGTACAAGAGCTACACTGAAATATGTTTTAGCTCTGTCTGAGTATCAGCACTACGTTTGATAACTAGTACAGCAGTGGGCTTCATTATTTCAGGACACAAGTACTGAAGTAAAACTCTGAACCCAAACAATTTGTATTAAAATGTCATACAGTTTGGTTAAAAGGATATTTAGAGGAAAGACTGTTATCAATGTTTCACTGCTACTGAACAGTCTACTCCTGCAATAGTGTTTTCTTCCAAATGATGACAAAATAACCTGACCACAAATATATAATCCTACTTCACATTTAACTATCAGATGAATACACAAAACTGTTATCCAAGCTAATCAGAACCTATCATGTTGTTTACTTTCTAACTTATTGTTACCTGTTCTGCTATCCAAAGGGGCTGATTTAAAAAGTAAGATCTGAACTGATTAGATAAAACTTCAGAAACAAAGCTTCTCTCACACTCTGAATATATGTGGTTTCAAAAAGTGGAAGAAAAGCTTACTTTTCTGAGAATGTCTTTCAGCTGCAGATGATCAGGAAGCAGTCTGCCCGAATACACCAACCTTTGATCCTTCGTCAACTAAGAAACAGGAAAAAGAACAGAATTCAACTTTTCTAATTATACATGTAAAGTAGGGAAAAACATCACTACATAAAATAAAATAAAAGTTTTTTTTAGGAACAAATAAGTAGAACACTGACATAATTTTAAAAAATTTTGTTTTTCCAATTTCCACTTAAGATATTTAAGAGCTCAGCAAATGGATAATAAAATACAGATAATCACCATACTAAAAAAAATCTGACAAAAAGACAAATTGGGGGCTGGCAAGTGGCTAAAGTGGTAGAGCACCTGCCTAGCAAGTGTGAGGCCCTGAGTTCAAACCCCACTGCCACCAAAAAAGAAAAAAAAAGGTAAATTGGAAATTTGTCTTTCCAGCTGTAATGCAACGCATATGTGACTATCATTAAAAAACTTTAAAGATTATATAACAGAGAAAGTAGCCAGCCTTCTAATAACAGTAAACAATAAGATAAATTTCAAGTTCACATGAGTTATTTTGCATTGTTTTGTCAGTATTTTAAATCTAGGATGTATAAGAATATTTTCTTCTTTACTAACATAATGTTGAAGAATTTATTGGTTTTAATTTGAGAGCCATTTGAATTTAGTTACCACTTTAGGTAACTATTCAAGTTTGTATTATTTTTACTACTCTCACAAATACCTGTGCACATTTTCAAAAACACAAAACAAAAGAAAAATCAACTCAAGTGCATGAAGATTCAGTTGCCATCTCTATATGCAACTCAGAATACAAAAAACGTGGTTAGTTCTGTTATATTTTGTATTTAATGAGATATCTGTTAATGTTCACACCACTGGCATTATTTAAAATGAAAGCATTTGTATTAGTTCCCATAAGGTTTATTTGCAGGCAAATGTTCCTTAAATTCTATTAAAATAATTAAACATTAACAGTATCAATTGTTAAATTCAAAATCCAACCTAAGACACAGCTGTAACAATTCCTAAACAGGTTATATATTCAATATGGCTACTACAAATGGCTCACATATTTAAAACAGTCATAACAGAAATTGTCATGCTGAATATAATCTGTGGTTCAGGTATCCTTATGCACCAAAGACTAGGGAAAGGACTGGTTATCTTTCCAACATATTTAACTGTTAGGCATAATCTAGTTTCTCTTGGAAGCACTTTTTAGTGTGCCATTCCTAAAATGCACAAGTACAAATTACTGTATATAAATAGCCAAATACAACAAATTTAAATCAATACATGTAAATACTGAGTGAGGCTCTGTGGGGACTGGAGATGTGGCTCAAGCAGTAGAGTACCTGCTCTGTAAGCATGAGTTCAAAACCCAGCCACCACACCCCACCAGAAAATGGGAAATTTACATTTGGTCTTTATCCCATTTCCTACCTTATAGCTCCTAAAATCCTTATAACCTCTGAATTTTGTTTGCTAGTGAGATTATAGTGGCTGGGGTCCCCTGGATAGCCTCAGGATGATGGCTGGTTGCAAGGGGAACCAATGCTGTGATTAGAAAGTTGCAATTTTCAGTTCTATCCTCCAAACTCCAGAAAGAGGAGCCAAAGTTTTAATTAACAACCCAATGGCCAATGATTTAATTAATCATCCCTATGTAATGAAACTTTCATAAAAGGCCAAAAGGACTGAGAGCTTCCATGTAGTGGACAAGGGAATATGTACAGGTTCCTAGAGGGTGACACACCCTCAAAGGGCACAGAAACTTTCTGCCATACCTTACCCTATGCAAATCTTCTGTCTGCCTATCCATTCGAATCCTTTGTAATATCCTTTATAGTAAATATAGTCAAATCTTTCATAGTAAAGTCCCTGAGTTCTGTGAGCTTCTTGAACAAATTAATCAAGATCAAGAAAGGAGTCCCAGGAACCCCAATTTACTAAGGTTTCTTCAGAACACAGTCTGTGCTTAAAACCAGCATCTGAAGTAGGGGAGTGAAGGGAGGGCCAGTCCTGTGGGGCTGCAGGATCTTACACTAAAGTGTCAACTGAACTGAATTAGAGGATACCCAGCCGGTGTCTGCTGGAAAATCATCTGCTCTTGCTTGCTGGTGGGGAGAAATTCTCACCTAGTTTGGTGACTAGAGGTCTCAAAAGTTTCTTTACTGAGTGTTGTAGTAGTAGGAGAAACTGAGAGATTTTTTTTTCCTATATCCTTGCAGGCACTGAATGGTAAATTATATAAACATAATTTACATGCTAAGTAAATATAGAATGATATAAGCCCTGACCAAAATGAATTATCTAATGCTTTATAAATTTCTGTAATAAAATTATTACCTCAACTAGAACATAAAGAAGTTTCTTTAATAAGTATGACAGCCATCAAAAACTATCACTTGTTCAACAAACATTAAGGTATTTCTGAAGGATTACGTTTGGGGAAAGAGACAGGAAATGAATAATCTTTGGAACCCACAAAGCACTGAGACACAAAGATAAGAATGACAGCAGACTTCTTGTCAGAAATGCAAGCTGGGAGACTTCTGAGCAGCAGCTTTACAGAAAAACAAAGCATGTCAACCTAGAAGTCTACATTTAGACAAGATTATTTTTTTAAGAAGCTACAGCAGGGAAGGAGCAAGTTAAAGGATTAGAAGCATCCACCATTTTGACTTCATGAATGAGAAGAGTCAGGTAGCAGGAGAGACTATATTCTGAAGAGAAAAAGAAAGAAAGAGCATTGGGAATTACAAAAGAGGTGGCAGAACAACAGAAAGCACAGAGAAACCAAGGCAACAGAGAAAAGCAGCAAACAGTTCCAACCATCCACATCTCCCTAGCAGGGGGAGGGGAAGCTGAAAACAGCGTAAGAGGATAAACCAGACTGCCCTGGCAACAGACTGGCAATTCTAGCTGCAACATAATACCACACTTCCCAAAAGCCTTAAACCCAGTGACTGCTCTAGTGTGGAAGGATAGCCTTGGTGAAGAAAGCCATTCTGTTGCTCCCCTTATTTCAGAGAGTGGTAGCAAGACACCACCTTGAGAAAGGGCCTATTGTTTGAGATTAAGATACTCTGGGGGCTTAAAAACAAGGAATACTCACAGCTCAGGAAGTCTTGGGACACCCCACAACAGTGTCTAGGTAGGAAACGGCCATTAGAGGTGGTCAAGGAGAAGGAGAGGGACAGATGCAGTCCCAAAGAGAAGTTATAGCAGTGGGGAGCTCTGGACTCACTCACTGGAGTGAGTCCCATCACCTGAGACTTGGGTGGAAAAAAAGCACTGAGCCTGTAGCTGGCTTAATACTCAGCCTTCAGGGTCTGTCTCCTGGCCGTGTGTATTGACTGCTAGGTGGGTCAGAGGGTCAGAGCTCTGTACCCAAACCCTCTGAATCACATGACTTCCACTTCCTTCTACCCCACACAGGGAGGTGAAATATTGGGTAGGATCTGAAAGCACTGAGACCAGTCCCTGGGAACTGCATCCTGTGTATGTTTGTTGACAGTAAGGACTGAGGACCCACAGTCCAGACCATCTGAATAACAAAATTTCTACAGCCTTCTCCTCACAGAGAAGTGAACTTCTGGATGGGATCTATAAGCAACTGGGGTCCCTCAGTTTCCCCACACACACCTCTACCCCACATCCCACCAGATACAGCACTCAGTGCACTGTTTGCTGTCCCACTCTCTAATACATTCAGGGATCACCCTGAGACTTAGACACTTCTTGGCCCCTGGAGACACAAATGGGGTGTGGTGAGGGGAGATGGGATATGTGCAGCAAGTGGGATCCTGCCTAGCCACCAAGCTATAAAGCTCCCTATAATCAACAGCAGCTCCCAATACAAAAAGATGGGAAACGTCTATGATAAAAGCAACCCAAAAGCAGACAACTGACCCTTCTACAGGAGATTCCAGGTAGCTCTCCTTGGTATGAGAAGTGGTGAGGATCTGGCCCAGTACCCTCAGCACATGGGCAAATGTTTAACTATGGAGCCATACTCCCTCCCCCAGTCCACCTCCACCCAAGTACTCATTGTCCTGCCTGAATATTTAAACTATTTCAACTGAAGGATTACATATGATTAAAACCTCCAACCAACAGCTTGGCTTCAAATGCATAAATCCCAATGCAGAAACACAAATAATACGAAAAAAACGTGGCAACAGGTCTCCTTCAAAAGTCAACAATTCCACAATAAAACACTTCAGTGATAGTGAAGTAGATAAAATATCAATGAACTCAAGATCAATGATAAGAATGATCAACAAGATTAAAGAAGACATGTATGAGTACCTGAATGAATTCAAAGATAATTCATTCTCAAATAAACAGCTGAATGAATTCAAAGAGAATTCATTCTCAAACAAACAGCTGAATGAATTCAAAGAGAATTCAAAGAAATGGCAGAATGAAATAAGGAAGATAATGTAGGATATGAAAGAGAAACACAACCAAAAAAGAAAAGACAAAAAAAAAAAAAGAGAAACACAATACATAAAGAAATCCTGAAAATATCAAATTGAAATCCTAGAAACAAACAGCTCAATAACCCAAAAAAGAAAAACTCAGCTGAAAGCCTTGCTAATAGAATGGAACAAGATGAAAACAGAGTATTAGCGGTACAAGATATAGTAGAGAAATCAGACCAATCAGGTAAAGACATCAAAAAAATACTAAGAAAATAAAAATGAAACATGCTTGCATGTTTCCTCTGGGACACCATCAAAAGTCCAACCCTACAATCATGGATATAGAAGATGAGGTACAAGCTAAAGGCATAGAAACCATGTTCTATAAAATACTAGCAGAACACCTTTCCAATCTTAAGAAAGACAGAGTTATCCAGATACAGAAGGTTTTCAAAACACCGAACAGGCAAGATCAAAGGGAAAAAAAAAACCCTAGACATGTTATAGATAAAAACACTAAATATACAGAACAAAGAAAGAATATTGAAAGTTGCAAGAGAAGTGACAAGTCACATATAAAGGTGAACCCGTAAGAATAACAGCAGATTTTTCAACAGAAACTCTAAAAGCAAGGAAGGCATA